ACTGCTTTAATATTCGAGAAATAGTTGTTTTCATACGCTCTCGGGAAGGTTACAATTGGGCTATTCCCCTCGGCAAGCCTCGGGGAATAGCACAATTCTAACCTTCCCTTGAGCGTAATAAAACAACTATTTCTCTCAAAGCAGTCATTAATACTATATTATTATATGGGGATGGGGGTATCGGCTGATGGCATATGGAAAGGACTAAAGTATACGTAGCTGCACGATACCCCCATGTATTTGTAGTTCCTAATATCACCTTCTGGCAGACTAGCTGCTAGAGCCTTTTCCCCAAATGCTTGCTAGGTTTTGTTCTCACCTCGGCCTAAACTCTTGACAAGGAAGTTTACTGCTTCCTAACGTGACTAATACCTTTCAGTGAACCAGATAAACAAGAAAATAGTAGGGGAAAGGTATCGAACAACACACTGAATCAGACAATTGAAGGAGAAAGATAGAGGAGAGAGAAAGAGAACAAACAAAATATATAGATATAGGGAGAGATAGAAAGGTAGAGATAAAGAAATATAGAGAAAATAAAGAGGTGGAGGCAGACAGAGACACATTGAACTAGATAGAGGTAGGTAAAGAGAGGATGAGAGAGGGAACAAGAAGCCCTGCCCAGACGAGACAATGATGCTGCAACTTACGAGTAATAACCAACCCCTTCAGGTAATGAGCAACAGGATCTGTGCTCCGTAAAGATAGCTAGAAATATCCCTCTTTTATCACCCACAAAGGGAGGAAATGAATGTCCCATTGAGCGCCGCTTATGAAAGCAATGTATTCGTAAATTGTTTCCAATTACCAATTGCCCACGTTTTGATTCAAACTTCAGTGATGACCTGTGGTCACAGTCGATTTATTTCCTACAGAAGAGATAGGTTAAGCAGGATGGGACAGATCAAGTACTCTGAATTATTTGTTATTGAAGGATCAGGATACTGCTACTTTTAGAGCTCCAAAATAACAGTGTAATTCAGTAATGGTACCTGTATTTTTTACAGACAATTTTTCAAATCTTTTTGTCAAAAGCTATCATTTGGTGAGAATATGTTCAGTTCAGTTCAGTTCATTTTTATTCAAAACCATACAAAGCATGATATAATCTGTTACATAAAAAAGAGACTGGTAATAGTACATCAATCAACATATTCTAACTTGATTACATCATAAACTGAATGGTTTTAGGACCCCTTTAGAAGCTAAGCTTGTGAGCGGGGCCCTATAACAAAATACATACATTTACAGTAAAAAGAATGTTACGTATGATTATACAATGGATGAAAATACTAAGCTACAGAATATAGAACATACAAATACTCTCACACACACACACACACAGACACCACACACGCACAGCAAACACACTGAGGTAGGTTTCCCTAATAATATTTTTGTGTTTTGCTATTACTAACAAAAAGTTCTTACTACTCTTCATTTTTTATTTGCTTTTGGCTTAGTAACTTTGTTCTTTCACAAAAATGTGACGCTGTTTTGACTGTCTTGTATATTTACTTTACCGGTACTTTTGGTTGATCCTTCCTTTCTTGTCTGAAATATTGATCTCTTCTTTCCTTCCTTCACTGAAATTCATGGAATCCGATTATCATTCAAATCTAGGTGTATTGATCATCAATTATGCAGATCTACTCTTTACATTGCACAAATATGCCTTAAATGAAAGACAAGCTTTATTGTATGCCACATTATTACTTCATCTCCTCACCAAATTAGCAAATAGGAATACAAATCATCATATTCCCTCATGTCATGAAAATATTCTTGGAGATTTTGGAAATAGAATATTTAGCATAACGTACATGGTTGTATGCGACTCGTTATGACATCTTATAATTTCCATTCACCGTCCTTGAGTTATCTGATTCTAAGCTATGGCCTTTTTTCAAAGGTTTATGATGAAAGGAAATTGTTAAAGGTCTTTCAGGTTTAACCTTTAGCATAAATCATAAGAGGAAGGACATTAGCACATGTTTAGATTGTAGTCAGGGTTTTAGTGATTGAGTTTTCCTTCTATTTCTACTGGTACAGCATCGATAGATGCATTATAAAGGTATACCCATGTATGCTGTTAGATTCAAACTCAGAACAAAAGTTAACGTTTCTTGTACCGATACTCTTTTTTTTGTGATTTTTTTATTTGGATAAGCAGTTATTCCAAATGCTTGAAAGTAATACTGTTAAAATTCTCTGAAAATCATAAAGTAAGCTTTGACTTATGTATGTGCTTACTAAAGTGTTATAAAAGTACATATTCTTGAAAATTGGTTCGGTTCCTGTCATTTATACCTTTCCAAGAAATATGTCTATTACATTTTTATATTTATTGAGTGGGCCACAAACAATAACACGGTTTCAATTGTCTGCAATAAAAAATATAAAAAACTGACCGTGGAATGTTTTCTGAGTTTTATGAAAGAGAAGTGTGTAAAACAAATACCTTTGTTGCTCCTTTGGTAACAGCAATTGGGAACTTGATGATTTTTCTCCAAAGTTTGTACCTATCAGACAACTTCATATTTATAACTAGGCTGATGAACGAGACTAGCACACATTCTAAACGTTTCAGTTCTCCCACACTATTCAAAATATTGGAACAATATAGGCCATATTGTTCACACTTTTGCTTTTGTCCCTTGCCTTTACTTGGAGAGTAAATACAAGCCTGGTTTGAAAAGCTTACCAGAATAGAGAGAAAAAAGTGAGTAGAGACATTTGAAAAGGGAGAATGGGACTGGAGCCGATGGGGATCTTAAAGCGGAAAGGAACCATGACAGAGAGAGAAAAGATTTTTTTTCTTTTAAAAGGAGAAAGAAGTAGAAGAGAAGAAAAGGAAGGGGAAAATGGTTGTGGTTTCTGTGGGTGGGTGGGCATACAAACATAGAATAAAACCTGTAGTAGATTGTGTTTGTAAAACGCAGTGGGGTGCGGTGATCCATTGGACGTTGTCAGCCAAGAGGTTCTGGTTGGGTTCTTTTTAAACTTCATTTCTTGATAAATCAATTTGGAAAGGAGTGTGTGACATTAATTAGAACATTTGATGTGGCTTTCAATTGTTCCATGCTTTCAATATCCCTAAATGTTACGGTCCAGTCTACATTCATGTTTGTGGAAAAACATTCTATTCAGTTCTTGCCACTGCAAAAGGTTTTGGTATTTTCATCCTTAATGATCAAAATTTGGTACGTTTGCTTTTCCTTTCCAATTCAAGTACCTGTTTTATTATCTTTTCTATCGTTTTACCTTTCTGTCATTATTTATTCCATTGGGTCTCTTCTCAATCTTGATTTTTATCTTTAACCTCTACATCATTTCATCTTTCTTTCACTACCTATCTATATACTTTGTCAACTTTTCCCCACCATTTTTGCAATGTCTCTTGATAGGTCATGATATTTTCAAGCAGGGGGATGGATCATAACTTTGGGGATTTGGGATTACAATTGTCAATATCATTTTCAGCTACTCCTTGACCCATTTATTTATTAAGAACTCTCTATGGTTTAATATTAAAAGTACTCAAACTTTTTTTAAATGTTGAACTTTGATCTTCGGTTGTAGTGTGGTGATCTTTTGGGTAAAATTGGCATACAACTTCCAGACATCCCTAACAAATTTATATTTTCAGTGGGAGTAGTTTTCTAACAGGCTTTATTTGGTGTCAAATATTTCCCCTCCTTTTGATCCGTCCCTAGTGGTTTGCCAATGTAAACATACCACCCCTGTATAGGAGAATGGAACAGACCACAAGTTGACTTTGTGGAATGAACCATATACACTTTAGTCTAGTCTGTACAGGAGTTTCACACAATCACATGCTTTGTTCTCAAACTCATCCTTGTAAACTTGCACTTTTTGCCTCATCAATGTTTACTTTCTTTAGATATGTTTCTTATTGCAAATATTGAAAGATGAGTGATTCAGCAAAATAACTAAAAAATCAGAAGGACACTTGTGTCTGGACGCTCAGACTATGTACTGCAGCTCTACAGAGACTGGTACTGTGTGAATATGTGTATAAGTACGTGGGATGCAATGAATAAGTAAGCTGTGTATACGCCTCCTCTCTCTTACTGAACCGTACACTGTGAAGAGTTTTGCGCTATAGAATCTATATATCGCTGCCGCTTGCTGTCTACACTATAAGTGCTGCTGGAGATAGCTCGGCTCGCACATACTGTATTTACTAGGCTGGTGGGGTGTTCGTCGTCGAGTAGTGTTTAGTAGAGCAATACCTGCCCAAGCCACTTGTGGAATGTCCGTTCCCATTTTCGGAGGGGGTCGTGTCTTGAAACTTTAAAAGACCCTGATGGTGACATCCGTGCAGTGATTTCAGGAATTTTGTAGGTTAGAGAGGAGGTCGATGGATACATCAAGAGAGACATGTGATTCAAAGACCACTTGGAGCGATTTTAATACTGGATTCATGTTTACCAGGCATTGAATGTGGAATTTTAATGTGAAATAACATTCTGGAATACATTCCAAGTCACAAGAGAGGGATGATATTCAAGCATTAATATTTGATGAATGGAAAACATTGTTCACCTTGCAAGACTTGATCAACATTGGAGTATATCACAGACGTATATCAGCAGTTGATTGTCACTGCTGTTGATTAGTGAGTGAGATGTCATTCAGTATGCAGATTCACTGGTTTTGACTTATCCGATCAAATTGGCTTCATTAAAAAGGCTTAACCCTTTGAATCCTATTCGTTCAGAGAACTTCATTGTCTGCTGAACAGTTATATAACTAATCCTCAACAGCTATTATATACACTTCTTAGTGATAGACTTTGCCATTCAAAAGCAGCATTTTATCACCTGATCAGGGAATATATCAACAAGGATATGAGATATATATAGTTAGGAATCTATGAGAGTATTGTAGATACAGCTAGTTTCAGTCAGGATCCAGTTGGAAGAAATCAGTGAAGTGTATGTGCAACTCAGTGGTGGAACACATATATATATATAGTTTGCAGAAGGAATATATCACGGTGTGGCATAGGAATGCAATATATATCAACTGGCCTTTGTGATATATAAGCGTATATTAATATACCTGCATCTATAGAGAGGAGCTGATAGACTATACTTAAGCACACTTCACCACCTACTCAATATACCTCATCTAACTTAATTTTCAAGAGGAATGTATTCTTCTACCTTTGACTATATACTCCACCTTTGAAACGCATGAAGTGGGTATTATATGTCTGCAGCTTGCTGTTTAACTTGTCAACAGAGCTATATTGAGAGGAATATATAGTTTCTTTCCTTGGGAGGATTAGTACGTCTGTGGATATATATGTCATCATTGAGTGACACAAGCTGTATGATACGTCTCTCTCGCTCGCTTTCTCTTTGTACTGTCTGTGCCCGTCAATAGGGTTGGAGATAACACATGTGCTATGCAATATTGATTGAGAATGGCCCTGATGAGAGACTGCAATATTAACCACACAGCATTTGAATAATATATATACATGCACTGCAACAAGTATATACGAGTCCCCCTACTTAGTCATATGTTCATGTGCAGTGCATAGTTAAAGTTAGCATATATCTCCCATAGTTACTCATTTGAAGCCCCAAATATAGCTTATAGTTTGTTAAACAGCATTAATCATAGTATATATATATATATACTTATTTATTATAGGAGTTTATCATATTTTATAGTTGGATATTATATCAAAGAAATTTGTCATATTTTTGCCTGACAAGACATGTGCCTTCCATTTTTTACTACTTAGATAAATTATATCAGAAGATAATTCCCATGAAATTTTATAAATGAATATAGACCAAATATGGAAATTTCATGAATAATTTCAATCCACTAAATACAAAGTGATCAGTACTATTAAAGATCCTCAAACTGCCTTGAAAAGAGCCTGTACATTTAGGATTCAACGATATTTTTACTTCAATAGTCCTCAAATCTAGACTATGACAATGGGTGACATACGCGAACCAGAAGATTCGCCGGTCTCGCGCAGGAAACAGATTATACGCGGGCCAATGGGCCTTCCCATGGAAATAGAAATCACGTCCAGAAAACTTGGCAGATACCAACAAAAACGATGGCCCGAGCGACAGCCTCGCTTCTCGCGGGAGATCGCGGACATGGAAGTCGACGAAGGAGACGTTGTTGTTTTCGATTGTCACTATTACGGATATCCGTCCCCAGAGGTCACATGGTTTAAGGAGGATACGGAAGTTGAACAAAACGACCGATGTTTAGTTTATACAAACGAGATTGAAAGTATGTTAGTACTATGTGATGTGACTGTGAAGGATACAGCTCAATACACAGCCAAAGTGAAAAACTATCTAGCATCAGTGGAAACAGATGCCCATCTTACTGTCTATAAAAAAGGTATGTACAAAAAAAAAAACTGCCAGTCACAGACCTGGCACTTAATGACGATGATGAAATGCAGTATTACCATGAAAATATGCATTGTACAACTACATGTTCATTAGTTTATGCTCTTTGAAACTATAACTTTTGACAAAGTTGAATAAGTATTGAAGTACATTGCTATGATATCACGGTATTCCTCAATGCACTTTCAAAGTCCAATTTTGACATAGTTGAACAAATATACCAAAGTATATTGTTAACATATCTGTAATTTGTTTTAAGCAAGATATGATATCCTAAGGTAATATGAGGTTGTAAACCTATGATTCAGCGCCACCACATCTTAAATAAACACTCAGCAATCACATGTTTCTAATAAAACTATCACAACCTTTTAAAAAGGACTTTATTGACAATGCCACCATAAAATACCTTGTGATTGTAGATCAAATGCTTTGCTTGCTCATGCTTACATACATTGTATATAACTGTGTCTGCATCATCTGTTTAAAGCCAGAAGGGTATATGTACTCTATAATAGAAAATAATGTTCTGGCTCTCGGCAAACATGCCCTGTTTTATAACAACCACAGTCTAAACAAACACAATTCACATTAATACAAACAGTACATGATGATTTTTAATATCTCAAGGTTGATTTATAATTTTATACACCTCCTCCCTTATTTACCATACCCTAAAAACAAATACTTCTCAAATATGTCAATACATATACATGACATATTGTACACATCATAAAAATGCACCCTTATTTACTCAGAGCCCCGATATGAATAATGCACGCTATCTGTGGTTTAGTTTATAAATCAATACTCTTGTTCTCAATTTTGCTCTATTACATACATCATATAAATGCACCTTTATTAACTCAAGGCTTCAATATTACATGTACGTGGATCATATAAATACACAAACAGGTATACATGTATTTACAACTATAGTATTCAGAGCTTCATATGAATAATGCAGGTACTGTGGATAAAATATATGAAATTGTTACAATTTCAAGGGCAATGTGTGATTGCAAGCACTCACTATTTGACAAGCACCCGTGTATGAAGTAATGGACCGCTTAATACCTATCCGTTTTTAGGGCTCGATGATTTTCCTTTTTTGTGGACTAACCAAGCGAGAGCGCTCTTTGATTGTCGGGAGGGTGTGATGTCACTTGTGACCTCCCACTTGCGGTCCTGGTTTAGAACCGGAGAAAAACAATTGTAGTCTGCACTTGCCGACACTTGTAGAGTTTGTGCGATTGGTCACAGGTAGGAGTCGAGGAAGACAAACATAGTCTGCTCTTGCCAACACTTGTAGATTTTCTGCGATTGAGGGCACATAATAGGAATACATGTAGTATAATTGAATAGATGAAGGAATAGAACCGGAGGATCACAATTGTACTCTGCGCTTGCCCACACTTTTAGGGTTTCTGCAATCAATGGCAGGTACATTGTATAATTTAATAGATGAAGGTTGGGAATTGAGGAAGCGCATTTGGCTGGAATACATTGCATTGTACATGCAGCAGGAGAACCTACAATTAGGAATATTTGTAGGTCGTGTAATAATAATTATTAGTGTACTGTACAATCTAATAGACATACAATTTCATGTGAATCTCTTTTTCATTCATACTCATCCTTTAAATATGTTCTAACTGACTTTTGATAGTATTTCTTTCATTTTCCCAATATTATTTTGTATTCCTACACTCTTGTAATATCTCTTGATAAAAACCTACTTTGGATTTAATTTAAACCTGTCATCTCATTAAGATTAAACAAAACAATATAATATAAAGTTTCTTATCATGCACACAATTGCAATGCGAATGGAATTTGGACTAGCGGTCAAATTCTGGAACTTATCAGCCAGATATTTAATCTTGCATGCATTACTTTACACAGTAAATTGGCAAGACCCGTTTGTTGATAAATACTAAAATAGTTCATTTGCAGGGGAGTTTTCTATTGGCATTATTACACCACTGTTCAAAGTCCATGAATTATTCATAACAAATTTTTCTGTAATAGGATCACGGACGTTGTTGGAAAAGCAGTGTGTATTAAACACACATGATATATTGAGTCAATGATTATTGTGTCGAAATTTGCAATGAATAAAATCATAATTTTATATCAATACTTTACAAAATTTGGTACACTGTATCTCCCAGTATTAATTGAAATGTCACCTTAAGGCTTGTGGAATGAAAAATATTGAAATATGTTTTGAAATACATATAGTGCTGGCTTCCTGCTATGTACAGAACTATACATACATGGACCTTCATTTTTTTTTAATTTTGTACAAATAAACACAATTTACAGTTTCGGAAAAATGGCTTCTTGCTATTGCAGAATACATATGTGTATTGAATTAATTTTTAACCCCTAAAAACTGTTTTTAAAAGGTGAAACTTCCAATTTTAGCCACTTGATACGTCAACAACATAAAAAAGTGTTCCATTTGAATGTTAGCCTTGGGATGCATGAAGTTTGGAATCAATTGGAAGAGACCCTGTACGGGTATTGCTTGCCTGACATAGCAACAATACTAAAAAGTCTTTTCTTGGAAAATATACATTGGATGACATATTTGGCGGACAGTCTTGAAAGTCTTGTCTCGTCACTTTGGCTGAGTTTTTGCCTGGCATACAGATTGAACAAGAAATACAAGTATATGCCTTGAAAACTCTAATGGGGTGACGAAAGGGAAGTGAAATTTAGGGACAGTTTTGAAAGCCCCCTGGTTTTGACAAAGGGAACATAAACCACATGGTTATTAGTTGAAGCCTCATGCGTGCACACCCAGTATGGTTCTTACCACAGCATGACAAACAGACAGACAGACATTCATGTGTCATGGTCCTCATGGGGGCTATTAATTTATTGTCAGACACTCTCTCCAAATTTGATGTTTTCCTGTCATCAAAATGTCTCGACTTAAAAATGTATCAATCTATGCTGTGTCATTGCCATACAGAAATGGAACATTAACAGTTGTTCAAATTAGTCGACTTTGGGACCCTAAATTTGAAATTCTTTAAAAAAAAACTTTTTATTTGTTGGTGCTTTTGTTGTGATAATTTATCACAAGGTATTCTGTTGGCCCATATTTCGGGACTTTCATAAGTAGTGAGATAAACTCCTTTTTATGAGCTGTTCATAGAGGTGCATCTACCAGTTTGTGCCTTCTGCCTTGTAGCAGACCATTTACAGGTTGTATCAGCTGTAAAATGGTACTGAGTTATTGAATAAGAGAGAGAGAGAGAGGGACAATACAAGAACTTGAGGTGAGAGTTATGAGGAACACCCGTCTCGCCATAACAGAATTATGGGCCATTGCATGACTAGATATATGACTAACAAAATACCTATAGGTAGTTGTCACTGTGAGTACTCTGTAGGGTGTCTGAATATTTGGGATTTTAGTCATTTTGGATATGGTTTAGTGAAAGTTGGCTCTGAGGGGTAAAAAAATGAATATAGAAGACATTAAATATTGTGATTGGTAGAATACATCAAAAGCAGTAAGGAGGAAATTCAATTTCTGAAAGATTAAAGTTGTCAATCACTATTAATGTAGGCATAAATACTTCTGTAAATACCGGTAGAACAATTCCTGGTAATTAAGCATAGACAAACATAATTGTATACATATGGGATTTAAATAAAGTGTACACCATTGACAATGCATGTTATAAAACCAAACTACAAGAGTACCACAATCCAGACAGTCTAGTTTAGTCTTAATATCCCCCCACTCCCCAAAACCAAAACCCAACCCAACCTTACCCAAACTCTAAATATAGGAGCTAGGTTAAGCTGACATTGAAACGTGTGAGAGGATTGGTGTCTACAGCTGATTGATCCAAACTTGTGTTGTTTTCATGGAGTCTACTGCTTACCAGTACATGAGCTAATTACATGTACATGGTGCGCAAGCTCATGACTAGACTATCTTGGTTATTAGTTGCAGCCTACATTCTGTCTGTATGCTATCTTTTCAAACTATTTGAGTTTGCATATTATGCATAGGTACACAGATCTCTTTCCAGTTCGATTTTCTTCTGCAAACTAAATGAAATATATATGTTGTGAGAATCGTTTATATGACTGGCATCACGAGTACTCAGCTCACAGATGTATTTGGAGATTTCATATTATCAAATCCATTTTCTATTCATTCAACAAAAGATGTACTTGTTCTGTAAAATGTAATTTGAAAGTTTAGGTTATACTGAAACGCTTATGAATAAAGAATGGAATTGACAAAAAAAAGGAATTATTGAAAAACTGTAGTAAATCTTTATGTATATTCATAAAATTTCAAAATGTACAAAATATGATTATATTTCTAACACAGTATTGAATTATGCCGTTGAGATAATAACGAGCATGTTTTAATATTTGAATGGATAATTTGCTTGGTAACTTGAGTGACTTGAGTCTAATTAGGCCTACATACACATAAAGTAGAAAGAGAAAAATAGACAAAAAGGAAGCATGAATGAGATGTGTTCCCTATGTGTAGGCCTATGTGACTTCTGCGGAAGCTATGAATTGATCTTATTATCACACAAGAATGGAATTCCTATTAGTCATACAGTGGAACAAAAGGTAAACCAGATGGGGGCGTACTGTTTGGGTTAGTTGTTTACTTACTAACCCACAGACACCCACATTCAGACCACCAACATACCCTCCCGTGCCAAAAGTATTGCAACATAGACACACACATTACACAGGAGACAAATAATTGAAAATGAGTGCTGTTTTAATGAATATGTAGTGCATCATTTTTTATCATACTATCAGGCACATTTTATTGATATATCAATAGTCATTTTTCATGTAAGATTCACGAGTCTCTAGTATTTTGTTGGATATCCTCGCCTTCTAATGATGGCGCGCATCCTTCTTGGCATCGTCGCGTAGAGTCCTTGCAATCTTTCTTGGGTGATGCTGCCCCAGGCCCTGAAGATAGAG